ATACGGAATTGATTAACTAAAACAGTTGAACGACATAACGGATGTTTATTTTACTTTTCTGTATTAGGAAGGATATATATATATATATATATACTTATGGTACTGTGATATGAGCTTGAGTCTCAGGATCAAGGTTAGGGTGCGTATATCGCAAAGGTTGAGTAATTAGATATAGCTGATGTTCCCTGACAGGAGATGCACATGGTCACTGGAAAGTGTGATTTACATGTTTCTTTCTATGCAGGTTGAACTACACTATAGGCTAATGAACATCCTATAGTGTGTGTGTATATATATATATATATGGATTATTTTGGTTATTGCTGAGCTATATAGGATGTATCTGCGTATCGGGTTTATGTATGGATTGTAGTAGGATGGAACTTGCATGTGGGCCTGACCCACTCTTATTTTTTAAGTGTTCGTCAGTATCAGGCTTAGAGCTTGATTGTGATGATGCAGATACAGACACTCACTCTTCCGACTACATAGGATTTCCTTTCGTATTTAGTGATGGGATTTTGGTTATGTAATTTATTTTCATTTGGAATTATTAGGGGTCCACTGAATGGATTCCTGAGTTGTACGGATTGGGAAAATTAAATTATATTAATATTTGTATTTGGAGGATTCTCGTATTTAGAATTCTTTTCAGCTTATTATTCTTATTTTTAAATCTTTTATATTTTTGCTTGTTTACATATTAATTGTTTGGTATCCCTCGGATCTGTGCTCGGACTTGATCACCCGTGGCTCTAGAATCGAGGGGTATCACAGAACTCGAACTGGAACAACAGACGATGGAAACTGAAAGATATGGATTTTGATTTTTTTGAACAATCTGAAATGATATGCCGATATGTGTTTGAACTTCTGATTTTGTAGATTATGTAGTTTGCAGTTGCAGAGAGAGAGGGCAAGTTCAGAGAGAGAGAGAAGGGGGGGTTCAGATATATATATATACTTTATATTGTAAATAGATATATATTTAAAAAAGATCATAAAAAATTTCACTAAATAGGATTTAGTTTGTAAAACAAGAATTACAAACCTTGATTAGTTGATTTAGAAAAAAAAATTAAAACAAAAGCCATACATACAAGTTAACAGTTACAGAAAGAGCTTCTGATTCTTATAGATTTTGTAGTTTGCAGTTGGAGAGAGAGAGAGAGAGGGCAAGTTCAGAGTTAAGAATAGAGATGGAGGCGATTGGGGAGGTTGAAATGATTTTTGATAGGGTTTGCTTGTTATGTAAATGACAAGTTTACCTATTTATTTTTATATAATTTACATTCTTATTCTTTTATATTGAATTTGATAATTAAATTTTTTTTTTTAAACCAGACAAATAAGCTAAATAAAATACAAACACTGACAAAAAAAAAAAAAAAAAAAAAAAAATGGTTATTGAAAATTGGTAGTTGGGAATGGTAGTTGAAAAAAAATGGTTGTTGTGTCAAAAAATAATATTTTGGATGAAATACATCATTGGAGTAGAGTTGCTAAAATATAACATTTTGATAGTATAATTTCTCTCAAAATATAAATTTGACATGTAAAAATGACATTTTACATTGGAGATGGTCTAAAAAGCCCTTTTGAGGCTGTTCCTCTTGTGCTGAAATAAGATTGCAAAACAAGAATTACAAATAGGATTATAAAAGATTATAAATTTTTTTTAAAAGATTATAAAAAATATCACCAAATAGGATTTAGTTTGCAAAACAAGAATTACAAACCTTGATTAGTTGATTTAGAAAAAAAATTAAAACAAAACCAATACATACAAGTTAGCAGTTGCAGAGAGAGAGGGGGGCAAGCTTGAGAGTTGAGAGACAGTGGCTGAAGCTTACAAACGGTAAACCCGAGCTGGAACAGCGGGCGATGGAAACTGAAATATATGGGTTTTGATTTTTTGAACAATCTGAAATGATATGCCGATATGGGTTTGAACTTCTGATTCTTGTAGATTATGTAGTTTGCAGTTGCAGAGAGAGAGAGAAGGGGTGTTCAGATATATATATACTTTATATATATATATATAAAAGATCATAAAAAATTTCACCAAATAGGATTTAGTTTGCAAAACAAGAATTACAAACCTTGATTAGTTGATTTAGAAAAAAAATTAAAACAAAAGGCATACATACAAGTTAGCAGTTGCAGAAAGAGCTTCTAATTCTTGTAAATTTTGTAGTTTGCAGTTGGAGAGAGAGAGAGAGAGAGGGCAAGTTCAGAGTCAAGAATAGAGATGGAGGCGATTGGGGAGGATGAAATGATTTTTGATAGGATTGCTTGTTATGTAAATGACAAGTTTACCTATTTATTTTTATATAATTTACATTCTTATTCTTTTACATTGAATTTGATAAATAATTTTTTTTTTAACTAGGCAAATAAGCTAAATAAAATACAAACAGGGAAAAAAAAAAAAATGGTTATTGAAAATTGGTGATTGGGAATGGTAGTTTGGAAAAAATGGTTGTTGTGTCAAAAAATAATATTTTGGATAAAATACATCATTAGAGCAAAGTTGATAAAATATAACATTATGATATTATAATTCTTCTCAAAATGTAAATTTGACATGCAAAAATGATATTTTACGTTGAAAATGGTCTAAAAAGCTCTTTTGAGGCTGTTCCTCTTGTGCTGAAATAGTAGAGAGAGGAAGAGAGCAAGCTTCGTGTTAAGGAAGGTCCTGTTGGTGCATTGTGGCATTGTGTGTCAGTCACGTAAGGTGCTTTGTGACGAAAATATGTGCTGCCTAAAAAGCCCTTTTTGAGGCGGTTTATCTTGTGCTGAAAACGGTAGAAGAGAGAGAGGCTAGAGAGCGTTTCTAGAAGGAAGGATCGGATGGTGTATTGTGCAAGCCCTTTTGAGGCGGTTTATCTTGTGCTGAAAACGGTAGAAGAGAGAGAGGCTAGAGAGCGTTTCTAGAAGGATCCATCCGATCCTTCCTTCTACGGTAGAAGAGAGAGAGGCTAGAAAGCGTTTCTAGAAGGAAGGATCGGATGGTGTATTGTGCGTGTGACGGAACCGGCTTTTAATAGAAACGAGTTGTATCTCTCTTGTTTTATCTTCTTCATTTTTATTTTGTGTTGTCTAAAAAGCCCTTTTGAGGCGGTTTCTATTTGGTCGGTAAACACACATCGCGTTTCTAGGAGGAGGATGGTTCAGATGGTGTGTTGTCAGCGTGCCGCAAGGTGTTTCAAGAAAAAAAATTATACTGCCTAAAAAGCCCTTTTAAGGCAGATTTGAACGACTGCTTTTAAATGCTGTCGTTATGTTTCCTTTTTAATTTTTTTTTTTTGCACTGATACTGTACAACAATCAAGTATTAGACGGTCAATTACGATTTTTTTTTTTTTTTTTTTTTTTAATTCACTGCACTGTCAAGACAATTGCCCTTCCATGTACTAGACTATATAAACTATATTGTCTTGTAGTAACAAGTTGTATGGCCATGATAGTCATTTAACAAAGGAAGGTCTCTAACTATATCTCTCTTGTTTTGTCTTTTTCATTTTTAATTTTTATTCGTTTAGATACAAGTCCACATTTATTTTAAAAAAAGAGTACGGCATTTTGGTAATTATCAAAAGGGTTGAGCCTAAATAGACACATGCTACTAGAAGAACTCTAAGTTGGATGGTGTCTCACTCTTTCATGTTTTACCTTTTTATTTATTTATTTGTTTATTTTGTTCTTTTGTGCCACATTAATTTATTCAAGTCAGGGAAGGCATTTTGGTAATTATACGTTGGCACGCACGGGTATAAACTTGGCAAGCGGAGGATGGTGAGGCCTATAAAAAGTCGTTGAGAGATGCATATATATATAGTTCTAATATTGCTTCAAATTAAGTCATATAGATATACAGATATATTTATATATATGGCTGAAGAAGGGATTCATGGTGACTACACAGAGGATGGCACTGTGGATCTAAAAGGCAATCCTGTCCGTAGATCCAAGAGTGGTGGATGGAGAGCTTGTTCCTTTCTTGTTGGTAACTCTCTCTCTGTGTTTGTGATTGAACTCCATATTATTGGTTACATTGTCAGTGAAACTTGGAAGCCAGTGTTGTTTCTTTTTCTCTTTTAGATGAATCTGGTACCTGCGTGCATGCCTTTCAAGTGGGTGATATATATGGACATACATACATGCATATGTATGTATGTATACGTACATACATACATATATAACTCCATAATATTGGTTACATTGTCAGTGAAACTTGGAAGCCAGTGTTCTTTCTTTTTCTCTTTTAGATGAATCTGGTACCTGCAGTGGGTGATATATATATATACATACATATATATATATATATACACATATGTATGTATGTATGTATGTATATATATATAACTCCATATCATTGGTTACATTGTCAGTGAAACTTGGAAGCCAGTGTTCTTTCTTTTTCTCTTTTAGATGAATCTGGTACCTGCCTTTCAAGTGGGTGATATATACATATATATATATATATACATACATACATACACATATGTATGTAGGTATGTATATGTATGTATGTATGTATACATAGATCTATGTATGTATGTACATATGTGTATATATATATATATGTATGTATGTGTGTGTATGTATGTATGTATGTATGTATGCATGTGGCGTCAGTCTAGCTTATTGATACGTTCCATAAAACTCCATTTTAATCCACTTTTTCTATCGATGAATTTTTTTTTTTTAATCTATTCACATAGTTACATGGGATGAACAAGAGTTTGTAATTAAAAGCAACTTTTTAAAAAAAATTATTTATATATAATCCCCACTAAAACCAAAATATAATAAGGTGCGGTGGTTATGTTTGTTGGTTAATCTGTTAAATTTTCCGCGTTTTTTGTGGACTTGCAGTGTATGAAGTGTTTGAACGCATAGCCTATTATGGTATACAAACAAATTTGATCAGATATTTGACCCAGAAGCTCCATCAGGGCACAGTCAAATCATCCAACAATGTCACCAACTGGATTGGGACCATTCAGATGACCCCAATCCTAGGGGCCTACGTGGCTGATGCCTGTATCGGCCGCTATTGGACGTTCCTGATTGCATCTGCAATCTATTTCATGGTATGTCTCATGCACACTGAATTCAATTCAAATATTTCTGTCTCTCTCTCTCTCTCTCTACACACACTTGTAATCTTATTATTTTCTTATTACTCCGTATTTTAGAAGTATTATGGAAAATGGTGATTACAGCTGTATTGAAAGAATACTTGTCAACATTGATAGGACTCACTCACAAGCGCGTCTCTCTCTCTCTCTACACTTTTATCTTCTTATTATTATTTTAGAAGCATTAAATGGAAAACGGTGATTACACTTTATTGAAAGAATACTTGTCAACATTGATATGACTCACTCACAAATGCGTTCTCAATAGTAATGGCGTTGAGGCTGAAATTCATATTGAAAATGGGTAAGGGCATTTTTGAGACTTTAAAAGAGCATTTTGGATTTTTTTTTTTTGGTGAGGGGAATAAGAACCTCTGGACTGTGATGAAAGAGTATTAATTACCCTTCTTGAATTAAAAATAAAAATAGTAAAAAATTTAATTATTATAAAATGACCTTAATGGGTTGAGGATGAAATTCATATAGAAAATGAGTAGGGCATTTTCGGAACTTTAAAAGGGTATTTTGGATATTTAATATTGTTAATTAGTCATGTGTCAGACGCATAATTTTGTAACGTACTTTTCTAAGTGTATAAATTATAAAAATGTTATTTGCATAAAAAATAAAATTTAAGGGTATTTTATATACTTAGTCCTTTAAAGAATAATAAAAAGCACTATCTGAGACACGAACACAGCGCGCACACATTAAATTTGAGGCCAGCATAAATTTGAAGAAAATGCATCTTTCAAGCCAAAGACTGAGAATATAAATTATATATTAAGCAACTTGAGCAATTGTGCTTTACTTGTTTTGACCTTAGTTAGGATTTCAACTCCTATGTAATTAGTCTATAATTAAATTGAAGTCAGACACGTCTTGTGGTTGAAATCCTGCGGTTAAAAACTTAAATACTCGTCAAGCTCCTTATTAAATTATTTGTGTAAAATTCCACGACATTTCTTTACATATATATTTCGAACTAGGCTCACTTTATTACCGCTATATTAAAAAATATTTATACATATATATATATATATATATAGACACACACATTAATTTAGAACCGGCTCAGTCACTACTGGATATATATATGTAGCATGTTATTTAATACTAGTTTGTGAAAAAAAATAAATAAATAAATTAATACTAGTTTAATCATTTTAATTGTAATTATTAATTATATAATGTCCAATGGAACAGCTCAATAATGTAAGGCAGTCAAAAAGAAAGTCCAACCAACCAACTTAATTGGTCAACAATAAATATATTTATTTAATTGGGAGATTGATTTGCTGCAAAACTTAATCTCTGATTTGACATTTAAGAGTGGATTTTCCATCCACTAGCCACAACTTAATTGGTCCAACTCAATTCAGTTCTAATTTAATCTTAATTTGAAATTGAGTTAGGTTAGGTGAATTTTATTCAAAATGAATTATGTACATAATTCAAGATCGAACTCGTTATACAGGTTAATATATATATATATATATATATATATATATATATATATATATATAAATATGTAAAAATAAAATAAAAGAAAAGAACTGAAACTTTTGTAATTTTTTGGGAAGTTTATGGTTATCAAATTAAAATTTGAACTGAAACTTTTGTAATTTTTTGGGAAGTTTATGGTTATCAAATTAAAAATTTAAAATTTTATTATAATTTATTTTTTAAAAAGCAAGTACAGTATATTACTCCAAACGGAACCCACTTGGGACACTTTTGCGAGTTGGTAGTACCAATATTATCTAAAAAAATTTTAGAATTCCATAATTGTCGTGGTAAATAAGTAATTACTTGCATAATCAAGTATATTGCATGAGACCCACAATTTAAGATTTCTATAATCATCGGTGGGCCCAAGTCCTTGACAATTTGGCCACATTTTTCTGGTCTAACGTTTAGGAGAGTACCTAGAGGTCCATCTAGAGTACTTGCAAGCGTCAGTGTCGTTAGCTTTCCATTATAGATCTCAGAATCTGTCCTACCCTTGGGTACCTTATCATGCCCTTCTTTATTGAAGTCGCCGGATTTCTGACAGCGTCGCCGGAAGCATACTGTGAAAGACGGAGAAAATAGAGAGGAGAAATATTTTTCTGGTGATCTCACCAGAGATCGACTGAAGGCGCGTGTGATTCACATATTTGTACAATTGTAATCCATTTCTAGAGAGAAAGTATCAAAGAGAGAGGGAGGATTGATTGATTGATTGACGATGCACTTACAGATCTAATAAGGTCGAGATTCAGTTCGCCGGGCGTCAAGAGCATGTAGGGTTCTTGTGGAAGAGAGAGAAAGAGAAAGAAGAGAGAGGAGAAAGAAGGGAGAAAAAAAACATTATTTTTTTATTTAAGTTGTTTTGTTTTGGGTTGGGTTCGTTGAGCTCGAGCTTAGCCCGAACATATTTGAGTTTTGAGAAAATTCAATTCAATTTGAGTCCGATTTGTGAATTTATAAGTTTAAATTTCAAAATTTTTGGATTGAGTTTGGATTGGGCTTGTTAGCCCGGTCAAGTTGCACCCTAGCTTAAGACGGAAATTGTGTTTTTAAAGACTTTATTTGAAGACGAGTTGCACTATAATATCTGAATGATTTTTTTTGTACAATTCCAATGAAGAGCATCAAACAAAAATTCTTAATTTGTAATAGATAAGTAAATCATAAACTTTTTATCTTAGAGTATTTATCTCAACGATTACCGCCTCGGTCGGTAAAAAAATCTATTGAGACTTCTATTATTTTTCTTCGAAGTCCGAGTAAAGTCTCCATTCAGAATTTATATACAATACATATATAGATGCAATCCAATTTTGAGAACCAGTTATGAACAAGTACATTCAGATCAATTTGCAATACATCACATATTCACAAATCAAGTAACAATAAAAAGAAAAACACTTGACCACCATTTGCATATCTCTTCTCCATTCATGTACCAAGAACTTCTATATATTTCAAAGCTGTATACATCAGAATTTGTGTACACACTCGTATGAAGTTGGGCTGAAATTGTATACTTTCTTATGTTGATTGCAGGGAATGTGTTTGTTAACACTAGCAGCTTCAGTCCTTGGACTAAGACCACCTAGTTGTGCTGATGTTAATGCCTCAGACTGTAAGAAGGCCTCAACCTTACAGTTAGCTGTGTTCTATGTTGCACTGTCTTTATTAGCTCTTGGGATTGGTGGGACCAAGCCCAACATCTCGACCATCGGCACGGATCAATTCGACGACTTTGAGCCCAAGGAGAAAGCCCAAAAGCTCTCATTCTTCAATTGGTGGATGTTCAGTGTGTTCTTTTCTACTCTTTTTGCCAACACCATAATTGTATACATACAAGACACTGTGGGCTGGGCATTGGGCTATGGGCTTGCAACCGCGGGCCTTGCAATAGCCATCTTGATATTCTTGGCTGGAACACCATTCTACAGGCACAGGGTGCCCACGGGGAGTCCCTTTACAATGATGGCCGAGGTCATAGTGGCTGCACTGAGGAAGTGGAAGGTACCCATTCCTAGTGACCCCAAAGAACTATATGAACTTGACTTGGAAGAGTACACCAAAAAGGGGAAGTTTAGGATTGATTCCACACCCACCTTGAGGTTTGTAACTTTCTACTAATCCTTTAAAACTATACTTAACCCTATGATTTCTATAACTAAAAAACAACCATGTATTGCCTAAATGCATCTTTCTAATGATACTTTTATTTCACATACAATTCATGCAGCGCAACACAACAAGTGTGTTGTACTGTAGTGGATGATTAGAATCACTCACATGTGTGAACGTACCATGCGGGTGCGTGATTCGAACCGTTCTACTGTTACAACACGCGTGCTGTTAACAAAGGATCGGGACTCCTATTCTTGACCCTTGGCTCCTAAAGTAGCAGCCCTTGCCTAAATGCTTCTTCTAATGATATACTTTATGTCGCATACATTTGATGCAGGTTCCTCAATAAAGCAAGTGTGAAAACAGGTTCAACTGATCCATGGATGCTATGCCCGGTTACCCAAGTTGAGGAAACCAAACAAATGTTACGAATGTTACCAATATTGGTAGCCACCTTTGTGCCTAGCACAATGATTGCACAGATCCACACCCTTTTCATTATGCAAGGCACTACTCTTGACAGACAAATTGGCAGCTTCAAAATCCCCCCGGCCAGTTTAGTAGGTTTTGCGACACTGTCTACGCTTGTTTCTGTATTTCTGTATGCCCGGTTCTTTGTCAGGATCATGAGAAGGTGGACAAAGAATCCTAGGGGCATCACCCTCCTCCAGAGAATGGGAATTGGTATGGCATTTCATATCTTCATAATGATGATCGCGTCGCTCATTGAGAGGCATAGACTAAGTGTTGCCAAGGACCATGGTGTAATTGAAAATGGAAACCAAGTGCCTTTAACCATATTCATTTTACTTCCTCAATTTGTGCTTATGGGAATTGCTGATGCATTTCTAGAGGTAGCCAAGATTGAGTTTTTCAATGACCAAGCACCAGAGAACATGAAAAGTATTGGGACTTCCTATTCCTCCACTACTTTGGGAGTTGGGAATTTCACAAGTAGCTTCCTTCTATCAACAGTTCTTCACATGACCAAGAAGCATGGTCGCAAAGGATGGATTCTCAATAACCTCAACGACTCTCATCTCGATTATTACTATGCATTTTTCGCGATACTGAGCTTCTTGAACTTCATTTTCTTCTTGGTCGTGAGCAAGTTCTATGTGTACAAGGCTGAAGTTTCGAATTCAATGCAAGTGCTTAGAGATGAGTTAAAGGGATCGACAGCTAGGGACTGTGTCTGATGAAGAACCGAAACAGATGAGGCTTTTAGGATTTTATTTATGTACTAAGATTTGATTAGAGTTTTTTTTATGCCTATTTATAGGTGGGCTGATATCATTTGTGATGTACCTTTGTATGATTGATTGATTATTTAATATACGGAGATTATGATTTCCTCTCCTTTATTCTTCTTCTTATTCCTACCATGTCCTGCTGCAATTAATATGAGAGCAAACACGTACTTCATATCACCACCACTAAGTACTAACACTGCAAACTGCTTGCTGTATAAAATGAAGACCAAAATTACAACCAATTACTCTAAGCCCCCTCAGCAACATCATCATATTACATTCATAAGCAAACTGAGTTATGTTACAAACCATTTCCTTTCGCAAAGCCTTCAAAATTCTAATACAATACATTACATTTCGTTCACACAGCTTGAATCCAATATCAGATTTTCCTAAAAAAAAACGTAATTTTTTTTGCTCTAACTGTACATGTAAATCCATCTTCATTACCGCCTCTTTGCTAGTTGGAATGTCCTCTTCAAGAACTGATTTGCTAGTCGATCATTCCTATGGCACAGTACCCTCAATATCGTATTGGGGTCTGATCTGTTCCATCTTCCTGTCGTTGGCGGCATAGGCAGTTTTTGTCCTGCACCTATGGTACCCATTCCGCTCGCTTCACAAACCACAATGCTGAAATCTTCCACCAGCTGTTCAGTAGGCTGACCCATCAATGCCACCACACCTTCCACTGTATCCACTTCTCGCTCCATTACATCCTCAGGTATCAAACCTTCACCACACTTGCTAAAAACCTGCTTCAAACTGTCAAAATCCTCTTCAATCATCTCGTGATCTGACCTACAAAACATTCGGGAGCTTCCCCCAGCTAGCAAAATCATGAGATAGGCCTCAAAAGAAGCCTTCATAACTTCTTTCATCGCCAATGGTTGAGCCCGGTCAGTGACAATCGCACTTAAAAGAGTAAGATTCTGCTTCAAGATTTGTAAAGCTGGTTTAATACGTGCATTTTCTACATCACCAACATATAGACCTTCGTAAAATACAGGGTTCGAGTCCAGGAAGATGAGACGGTAGGCAGCAACTTCTGATACATGTTGGGAGGATTCTTGAATAGCCAAACGGGCATGATCAAAGTAGGAATAGTAACTGCCAAGTTGTCCGTGGTTGTTACTGAAGCGGCCGCTGGGTGATTGAATGATATGAGGGGAGAGGGAAAGAGTTTTGTCAAGGCTATGGAGCTGAGATAAAAGATAATACAAGGTGTTTAGGCGGATGTACAGGCGTTGTGTTCCTCGGCTAGTTGATGGGCGTTGTTGCTGACCGTCGTTAAATAGAAGTTGATGCGAATCATCCAAGTTGACGGTGACTTTGCAGGGGCTAGCTTTTTTCCACAATTTGATAAACCTTGAGTCTCGGTTGCATCGTGTTAGAGGAGGAAGTGCAGGGACATAGCTCTGTTTTGATCCTAAAAAATACAAAAAAAATACCAAAAAAAAAAAAAACAAAAGAATGATAAAGAAGTAAAAAAAGTAGTGACTAATTAGTATGAACACAATTTCAGAAGACTTAATTTCTGTCCACTAAAAGAAATGTAATTCACGACACAATTTCCATATTAACAACTATGGCGGTGTTGTCCTCTGCATATATGCCCCATGCGATAGGGGCTAATGTCTAAGTTGGACAATACACTCTTTTATGGTCATCTTTTTGATGAGAAATAAAAATAAAATGAAACATCGACTAAAGAATCCTAAATAAAGATATACCAAAAAGATTACTAGGTGAAGGAAGTTTTAAAAGATTGTTATTACCACATGATGCAACGAAGGTAGTGTAGTCTCGGATTAAATGCTCTATGCCATCAGCAAGATCACAAACTAACTCATCCGAAATGCCATCTGAAATTTCAAATAAGTCGTCCACAATTTCCTTCACATATTTCATTAGCTCCACAGCTGATTGTGCATATGGCTCAGTTTTGGACTTTGGGTTCCATGTCTGCAACACAAATTGCAATCAATTACTCTCACAGTATGTCAGTACTTGACATAAATCACATGAACCTAAATATCCTTTCTTCAAATTGAGCAGAGAATGAGATGAACTTACTTCGGTTTCTTTCTCTCTTTGAAGACATTCTTTCCCTTTTTTCAATCTCTCTTGAATCCATTGTTTCAGGATGTTTAGAATGATCAAATCAACTTCATATGGAACCATCTCCCTCACAATAGTTTTGCCTCCATCTTCACATTCAACGGTGTCTTCAACCACCATCTGAACCAAAATCTTTTCCAGCTTTCCGGCTCTCTGCAATACCATGATAGTCTCATTTGTGAGGGAGGTCACCCCAGCTAAGTATTGCTTCAACAATGTCCCATAGCAGGTATGTAGAGTCGCGGCTGCAACCCCAGCTGCTATTGGGTGCCATTTCCTGAGCACCGAACTAAATATTTCCTTCTCCTTCAAGGCCAAAACTTCAGTGTCTTTAGCCAACTGAAGAAGGGCTTCGTTCACTTCTGGGACTTCAACAAGCATACCGCTGATATTTCCATTTTCTAGCATCTTTTGTTTTATTATAAAACAAGAACGGGAAATAAATATATTTATTAACTAGAATGGTGAAATATGATGGGAAATTGAAAAGTAAAGGGATCAACAAACAGACCTTTGTGAATGCATTCCTCAGTGATGATCTGATATACTGGTCCACCCTACATCCTGTAGTTTCGGCCACTACTTCCCCTTTCTCAAGCTCTGCTGCTCCAACGCCAGAAACATCTTCTTCCAATATCTTTGTGGCCGAAAAAACCAAAGGAAGAAGGTTTTCCATTATGCCAATTGTTTTTTTCTGAAAGCACCCGTGATAATCAAGCAATCTCTTCTCTGACCAATTTTTCATTGAAAGCAATGCCAATGATAACATCTTGACATATATAGGCTCTTGGTCTGCTCTCTTTGCATCTTTTGCAACTTCGGACAACATAGCGAGTGTGGCAGAAAGGAGGTCCGTTTCCACTTGTCCAGTTGCAATATATTGCTGAAACAATACCCACGAAAAACACACTTGGTGTATGGACCTATTGATTCCCAGTGTAGACCATGTTTTCTTCATGAGCTCCATCATCTCATCAATCTCATCAAGGACTAACGATTCCTCCTTGAGGTCAAAGATGGAGTGGAGTAGCGCAATGTAGAGGTGCACATTCAGTGGGAACCCATCAGCCCAATGGCACACGTCTGTGGTTGAACCATTAGGACTTCGCCAAGACAATGAAACCACACAATTACAAAGCGTTTTCATGGACTCCGAATTCTTTCCAGTGTCAATTGCCTTCGCCTCACAAGCCCGGGCAATCTCCCTGAAACGCTTAGCAAATGTGTTTGATTTTTCTAGTGGGATGGAAGGGTAAAGGATGAGTCCTGCTTCAAGGATTTTGAGCTGACGCTGTTGCCATACATGGTACTCCCGGGAATCATTGAATTCGGCTATCTTCAGGTGGCGGAGGAGCTCAAGAGGTAAAATTATCGTCTCCGGACGCCTGCCCATCTGGTTGTTTTAATAAGAAAATAATGTCTACTCAGATTAGAACCAAAATATATATATATATATATATCTCACACACACACACTATCAACTATCAACTATCAACCTGAGGGATGCCTTTTAAGTTCAATTATCTGGTAAATGATCATATAATGTATACCAGCAGATTAGAAATATTGCAGGTTACATGGATTATGCAAAAAAAAAAAAAAAAACATATCTAGAATCATTTAAAACTTTAAAGATCTACCAAAATGGGAATTTCAAAATCATACCTAGGACCATGTGTTAGTTGCAATTTTGAAATTAAATTGATATTTTATAATTCATTCAAATACAATCTTCATTTACATGTTCTACATTATTTTTGAATGAAAATTATGTTCAATGTACATAAAGTCATAAATCAGAGATAAACACATTAACACAAATACAAATATATAAACTTGCATATATACACACACATACATACTTGGCCAACGAGGGTCCTCATTAGGGTTTTGCGGAGCCTGTTATCGCTCTCCTCCGACACCCTCATTTGCTGCCTCATGATTTCAGCCGCCGTCTTTGGCTTCCTTGGCCTCCCCTGCGGCGTGGTCCATGCCATTCTCGGGCTGGACCCGGGACTCGATACGCGGGGCGAAGAAGGGTTCGACCCAGGACTCGACACCCCATGCTTCACGGGCGACGAAGGGTTTGACCCGGGGCTTGAAATGGTCCTTTTCGACATTGAACGCCTAATCGTCTTCAACCCCAGAAACCTCTTGACCTTGCTGGTCGTCGACACACCCACCAACCCCGACTTCCCCGGCGATCCCTGCCCCGACCCGAACCCGGAAACCCATCCGTCCCCACCGCCTTCAGATGATGAGTAGTATGTTAAGGTGTTCCTCCCTCCGAACCCCGGCGACGACCGGCAGGCCGTGAAGAATATCTCGTAGGCGGTCTCGCGGATGTCATCGGCCTCGACTCCTTCGAGCTCGCCGAAAGGCCACGCGAGTTCGGTGGCGACTGGGCCGGGGGCGGCGACGGGGTCGGGTCGGGAAGGTAGAATGGATACGGCGGGGAGGGAGTGGCGGCGGGTGTAATGGGCCATGGAGTTGGGGTGGTGGGTCAGATCCCGGCAATGGGATGTGTCGTCAGATATCCTGGCGGGAGAGACAGAAGAGAAAAGGTAAGCATTGGTGGTTTTTGGCAATGACAACAATTTCGTTAGAGAGAGAGAGAGGTCGTTAGTTTGGCCAACGTTGTGCGAAGAAAACGAGAAAGGCAAAGGTGGTCGGAGTCATACAAATTTGACATTATTCTTCCTAATAATATTAGGCTAATATTATTAGATAGAAATAGAAATAGAAATAGAAATAAAAATAAAAATAGAATGAAAATGAAATTAAAAATGAAAAGTTTTAAATATTTTAGGAGTTTGGATAGAATGGAACAGAAAATCTTTTTATTCCTTTTTTTTTTTTTTTTTTTTTTTAATATGTTATTTGCTACTTATGGATATAATGATGTTCAAAACTTTATACTTCAAACTGAAATAAAAAATAAAACAAATTAAGAAAAAAAATTCTACAATAACCTTTATATATTATAAATTATAATGTGATAATTTTTAATAAATTTGTATTTAAAAAAAAAAAAAAACAAATCATGCTAAAAATGAATTTTTATTTTACTTTCCTGTACTTTCACTTTTCGATGTTAGTGGAGAATATTTCATTCTTATGGACAATTTTTTTTTTTTTTTTTACAATAAATTTCACAATCGTAATAATAGTATTTAGTTCTTGTTTTAAATAAAATTGAGACTCATTTTCATTTAATAATAATAATAATGTTTAGAAAGCCGGATTAACTTTTGTAAACTGAAAGGATGCCTTATGGACAAAACTTGGATAGTCTAGCCGGCTGCCGCCTTATAAAAAACAATGAAATTTGGTTGAGTGAAGGATGCTGCTATACTGTTGCCAAAAACAAATAAATAACGGATGGATGCTATACAAATTGGGTCCACACTCCACCGTGGTCAATCCAAGTTATTTTTAAATGATTATGAAGTCAAAGTATCAATTGATCTGTCCACGTAAATTTCATTCTTAAATTACATGATTAAAATTGAAATCAAATGGGACTTCACTGCATGAAATCCATAAAATCTACAAATTTTATATTGTATGACAAAATTAAATAGGTTCATAATAAATTTTTGTGTCAAAATATTTCGCGTTGACTAGCAAGATGTCTGTAATTGCCCATTGCATCATAAGGAAAGAACATTTTTTTAGACACTAAGTGATATAATTTTAATTTGTAAAGTGGAGGTTGTTTCTAATTGTGGGGGTTCTTTATTATAATAGTGCTACAAGTAGCAAGGGTGATATCGAAAACACAAAATATGAATGATTCAGACAACATAAAATTTGAGATGGACTGAGAGAGGTGGAAGTACAGACAAACTCGAGAGAGAGTATAAAGATGGCAGTGTATTGATACACTATTGACTCTCTTGATAAATGTGTATAGAGAAAGCGTGAGGGAGAGAGCTTTTGAACTCCCTCTATCTGGAGGTTGTTTCCTCCCCCTTCAGCTCTACCTTTATTGGCCTTGGAGTATTTCCTTTTATAAGCCAAGTGAGATGTTTGGTGATGTCTATGATGACATCACCTGTGGGCTTATTAACATGAGATGGTTTTAAATATATGGGAGTCAAATAGTATTTCTCTCTCTACAAGTCAGGTCGAGTGTTGACTTGACGGATCTTGTACTTCAACCACCAAACCAAGTATCTCCTTGGATCCCAGATCATTCTGAGTCTTGCTCCCAACTTAGGTCTTCAAGTCCTCGATCTTCTGTTCGAGTTGTTCAGATGATGTGGCAAATGCCCCTTACCTTTGACCATTTGACTTGTTTGATGATGTGGCCTAGCCTTGTGAACTCGGTTAAATCCATCCCCTACACTAATTTTATTTATTTATTTATTATTATTTTTTTGTACAACCTTGCTTTGAGAGAAAATTGGCCTAATTGGTTTCTAGTTATGTGGAAGAAATATTTAAAAAATTTGCCTCCCATAATTTTGAGTTAAATTTTATATGAATCTATATTTAAATTTATGCATGTGCGTAATTCCATATGAATAAAAATAAGGAATTATTTTGAAACAAGCAAACCAATTCATCCAAATAATATTATTACATTCGAGATATATTACAAAATATTGTCAAGTTTATAGAATTATCAAACAAGTGTAATTAGATTCATTGCATTCATAGTAATTGATTTAAATACCATGATAACATTTGAGATATAATTCAAAATAGCTTCAAGTTTATACAATTATTAAACGAATGTACTTGGTTCATTGCATTTAAAGCAATTCATCTAAATAACAAGATTATATTCAGATTATATTCGAAACATATTTTAAAATAATGTCAAGTTTATAGAGTTCTCAATGTACTTGATTTGCATTGAAAGATTTTATACTCATACTCCATATGTCTTATATAGTTGTAAACTTGTAGTATATGATACATATATACTTATTATGCGGTTGTAAGCTACAATAAATTGTTGTATCTCAATAACTTGTGCTTTATCGTTTGCAATGACGTAAGCTGAAGTGGCTTGATGTGGGTAGAGTCCCACATCGGTTTTATAAACAAAGTCTTTAGAGTAAATATATGAGAGAGTTGCAGGAGACTGGAGTCCCTTCGGGGACATCCGATAAAATTGGAACGATACAAAGAAGATTAGTATGGCCCTGTGCAAGGATGACACGCACAAATCGAGAAATGGTCCAAATTTTTTTCTTGACCTTTTTGCCCTTTATCCCAGCATATGCTTTTACTAAAATACCCTTATTTTTTGCTACTTTCCCACCATACCCCTGCATTCTTCCACGTGTCAGGTTGTCATATTGAGACGTGCCAAAAGCTTACGATGGACTGCTCTCCTTGCAACTCCTCCGAATTCCTCGTTTGGCTGTCATGCTTCAAATTCGAACAGCACCTATGTAAGACTTAACCAGTATGAAGTTTCATCAATTACTCTATGGTAAGGTAAGCTTTGTTTCTCTCTCTATAACTGCAGTTTATGTATGTGTGTGTGTGTGTGTTTGTTGGGGGTGTGTTCTTAATTTGGCTTCTTTGCTCCTGTGGTTATGTTAGCGTCTCTTATCTGGGGTTTTGACTCTTATTTGTGGGTTGCCATCCGTATTTGATTATTTTTTGATGATATAATTTTGATATATATATTTTTTTAATTTACCCAAAAAAAATTAGTATTTTGATTTTGTTATTTCTCCATTTTGTTTGCTATTTTCTCGTATAGGCCCATCAAATGTGTTTTCCCGATTCATCTTTCCTTCTTGTGTGTCCCATTTTCTCTGTTGTTGTTTTATTTTGAAATGGAAAGAGAATATTGTTTTACTTTGAAACCTTGATCAAAGTCACAAGTAAGATAATCTTGTGGCCTCTGTTTATATTGTTTTCTTCTTATGCTATGTTTCCAAATCCAAAGCACCCATTTGGTGCTTCCAATCGCAACTTTAGTTTATTTCTTATTTTATAGGTCTGGTAGCTTTGTTCTTATATCTTTTACAAAGTTTTTTCCTAATGTATCTGTGAAGTTTTTGACTTTATCTATATATATATTTAGGTTAAAAGAAAATTTTTATTTAGCTGTGGGACCCACTTTATTTTATGTTATCATGTGCCAAATGGGATTAGAGACCCATTGTTTCTGTTCCTCTTCTCTCTCCCCGCTGCCTTTCTTCCTCTCTGTATTTCTTTTTTTCTTTTTCTTTTGCAACTTCCACTCTTGATTTCTTCCTTAATCCTTGGTAGATTTGAGAGCCGTTTGAGGCAAAACGAAGCCCACAACGAGCTCTACGCGTTAGTGTAAGCAATTTCAGATTTGGTCTTCCTAGGGACTTCAAATTTAGAGACCCATTTTAAGGGTTTTGGCTCACTTTTGAGGTAGGGACACTTTAATCCACTACTTTCTTGTTCTATTGTGAGTTATACTCCTTTGTTGTGCCAAGCATGCTTAATTAGAAGTTAATTGTATCAATGATTATTTTAAATGAATGTTGTCTAGAGAAATTCATGTGTATGAATGTGAGTTGTTTTATGTGTAAAGCATGCTCAAATGTATTTTGTTGTATCTTAATATGTTAATAATTACTTGGGAGATGTTGAACATGTTGAATGTTTAATTTTATGGTGTAGAATTTTAAATGCCATGGCATTGAATGTATGGAACATATATACATGCGTATATCATTGGGTTTCCATGAAATGGGAGAAATTGTTCTTGAAATAAATATGGGAAATTTCAGGGAAGTGTTTTTGATGAAATGGTTTTCTGTGAAACCCGGTCGCTGCGGGGTTACCAATGGGCCGGAAGTTAATATAGCCTAGAGGGGACTAGGGAGTCGCCCTAGCGTGGTTGAGCTAGTTGAGCCCATAATGACGTCGCGGGGTTACCAAGGGTCAGGGACACTAGCCAATTCTCCTCTCGTGTCGCGGCGGGGCTACCAAAGGGCGGGCTGTATTAACAGTTTGGAAACGATGTTTTGGATTATGAAAATGGGGAGCAACACTAGCATGCATTGCATCTTATACCATTGCATTGGATATACTTGAGATTGAATCGTTATGCTGTATTATTTCCCGACATTGTATGATCCCCATTTTCCATTGGCCTATGCTTTGTTTGGATTCACAAGGACACAAGATGTGTGTCTTAAGTGTCACCTGCTGAGCTTTATGCTCACCCTACTATTCATATTTTTTTTTTCAAGTCTTGGAAATGAACTGGTGGACGACAATCCACTTCAAGCTTGAAAGTTGTTAGAAGGTTGTTTGCTATTTTGTATTTTAACCGTTCTATGTATATTCGTAGTTGTGGAAATGTAACTAAGTTAGTATTCATGGCCTTGTAACTTAAGAACGAACTTATCTTTTGTTTGATGTAAATGAAACTAATGGAATTATGGTATATGTTTCCATGCAATTGTATCATGTAACGTTGTAAGACAGAGACTTTAAATCTTAACCATGTATTTTGGGACTGTAATTATGATAATTT